GTACCAGGTGGGAGGAGGAATTTAACTGCTCATAACTCCTTTGTCACCCATCAAGCACCAATTACACTTCAAGACTGTTTAAGTCTTCACACATCAGACAGGTCTCTCCTAAAAACCCAAGAAATCGCTCTGAAATAGTACCAAAAAAAAAAAAAAATTCCAGAAAGGAAAATACACAAACTACTCCAGGTTCCCCTTATGCGGGATTTAAGACATGACAAAAACACAGCTACTAATTACTAACCTGACTCTCTCTCCTACACTGGGAACGTGCCTCACATCATGTTCTCCCTACCAAAACCAAAAAGCTACTAGGAACAGTAAAATGATTTCCATATGTTCATTTTAAAGGGATTTTAAAGTCTAAACTAGGTTTTTTTTTTTAAGAGGCTATTGCACAGTCAGCTGCATTACTTCCCTGCATGGAATTCTTTCAGGGAAAAGATTTCTCAAAAGTCAATTGTGGCTTTGGTGACATACAAATAACTTACCTTTTTGCCACAAACCAAGGATTCCTTTATGTCTAAGAAAAGAGGGAACACTGTAGCCTTTAGGGAATTTATGAGGCATCTAGTTACTAAAACAGGAGTATCTTCAGATAACCTGTGTCTCAACTCCCCTCCTCAGATCTCTGGTAGTTTTAGTCAGGTCTTCTTCCTCCCAAGCTGCCAAAACACTACTACCTAACGGACCCACTGACTCGTACCTTCCAACCACGTTTCTACATTTCCCACTAGAAATCCTCACAACAAACCAGCTGCACCAAGAGGCCAAGTGTGTTCCGCGAGTATGCATGGGGAGTTCTGGAAGAGGCCACTGTGAGCTCAAGCTGGCCTGAGAGTTCCATGTGGTGCTGCTCATCATGGTGACTGAGCGTCTAGGACTCCTCGGGCCGATCTGACAGGGGTAAGTGGGGATCTGTGGGGGAGGGAGGTCCTCCTCCTCATTTCAGGAAAATACTGGGTATTAGCAGCAGGAAGGTGCAGAAATTGGAGGCCTCTTCCAACCTGCATTACTCTCCAGCCCAGCACCTCAGAGACGCCCATCAGTTAGACACAGCTCTTCTACAGCTAGGTCAGGGGGCTTTGCCCAGGGGACCTGAGACAAAAGTGAAGGAAAGAGGGATGGGAAAGTCAGCCAACCAGTAAGATACACTTCCGGCCGCTTGCAGCTTCTATCTCGTTTGCTTTGGTTGAGGTTAAATCCTAAGAGGGCTCCCAGGCAAGAAAGGGCAACAATCTCTTCCCCCAGCCCTGCCCAGGGACTCACAAGAGAGCTGGTGCTACGGAAACAAAGTCTGCACAGAACACCTGCCTTCGTTCTCCTCCTCAGCATGGGCCTTCCCTTTTCCTTTCTCTGCAAGTAGCTCTGCTCTGGAGCAGTCTAAGAGTCTAGGAAGAGATTAACTATCTTGGTGGGATGGTTGTGTACAGCAAAAAAGCACTGTTTTCTGTACTTCTGTCCACATGTTGAAGTACTGAGATGACCAATGGGATCTAGAGTAGGGAAAGCATGGTAGTGAGTGCTGCCCACACTGAACAGCCTAGAAAGTTCCTTTTAAAGAAAACTACTCCAGAATTTGAGGTGCAGACCCTGTTGCTCTAACAACAGTATATCCAAATAGGGATAGTAAGTCAGCCCTTCTTTTTCTCTCTCTCTGCTTCTGTCTCAGTGGGGAAATTAATTTTTTCTTTAGCAGATGGTTGAGTTACAAAGCAGAAGGATTCATAAAACTCACATGAACATCCTGTAAACATTTAAACACATAAAGATTAAATAAGGCAACCATGACCTTGATTAAAGTTAAATTATTTTTTTATGTCTACATTACTAATCCCAGCAATTTGGAGGCTCAACTCCAGACATCTTTGAAAATAGCTCGTTCTCATGGGGCTGGGGATTTAGCTCAGCGGCATAAGCACCTGCCTTGCAAGCAGGTAGTCGTGAGTTCGATCCCCGGTACCGATAAAAAGGAAAAAAGACAAAAAAAAAAGAAAGAAAATAGCCCGTTCTCACTGGGCATGGCAGGCATGCCTGTGAACACTTGCTGCTTAATCACAGTTGTTTTAAAATGGGAAGCAAATAGCACCTGAAGAGAGCAACATTGGGTGGACTGTACAGTACAGAGAAAGTCAAAATAAAATCAATAGGTACATTATAGAAAACACATTCATTGTACCCCCTCAGCTTCCACCCCTGCCCTTTGGTGATTCACTGTTTTATCCCCACCAGAAAGGCTGGCCCAGGACTAGGTTTTGTTGCAACTAAAAATTCTGACCTTAAGAGGCTAAAGGACTTGTTCAAGCTCGGGAGCAGACTGGTGGGACTTGAGCCAAGGCCCTTGCTGCTTCAGCCCGCAGCTCCACCGCCACACTGTGAAGACCAACATCAGAGCCGCCCCCAAGCCCTCACCACAGTCAGCTTGTGAGATTAGCACTGCCCTCCCACAGGGAAATTTTATGGACCAAATCGGCCACCACCAGGCTCAGCAGCATCATCTCGCCAGCAGCTGACAGCCACACTCCTCTAAGGCCAGCACACCACCAGACTCCTGAGGGGGAAAGGGGATATGTGGCTTGAAAGTTCTAGAGGTAGATGGGAGCCGAGTTGGCTCCCCCCACTCTTGTTAGAATGCTCAATAAGCTAAGGCTTTGAAGGATTTCCCAGAAGTGTTTGTTACCTGGTGTAAATGTGCCCTTCCTTGCAATGCTTTTTATTGCTCTTGGCTAAAGACACTGGACCAAGACAGGAGACCTGACTTTCAGGCAGGCAGGCTGCTTTGCAGGAGAACCTGAACTTGATGTGTGCAGAACTGACAGTTCCTTGAAGGCCTTGTCAACCATCCATCCAGTAAATACTGCCACTACCCAGAGTAAAAACAGACCAAAAACCACATGCACAGAAGGAGGCTCTCTGCACCTGTCTTGAAGCAATTATTGACATTATGGCTGCACAATGAATCCTTTTTTGAAGTTGTTTTCCTGATATTTAACAGTTTGAATACTAATCCCCTTAACAAAACTATCCTGATGCTTTTCTCTCCCCACCCCCATGCCCTTAATCTCTTTTGGGAGGGGGGACTGGGTTCCAGGCAGTCTTACTTTGCAGCACCTGGATTTGCACTGATTCTGGCTCTTGTCATTCATGTTACCAACAGGAATTAGCATAAGGCATTAAGAGGAAACTCTGGAGGAGAAAAGAAAGGCCATTTTGATGGAAATAAGGGGCAAAGGAATAATCTGCCATCAACTAAAATGCTTATTTGTGTATGGTTTCCCAAGCAAAGCTTAGAAAAAGCCTATGTTGATTTTAGTATACACAAAGAAACCTTAATCCTTTCAAGGCAACTAAATCACCCCCAGAAAAGCAGCTCAGAAGAAAAGACACCCTGTCAGGGGGATGACTATTCACAACCAAATAGATGCCACAAATCACACTCTGTAAGTAAACAAAAATAAGAATGTGGGACTCCTTTGACTGGAAAGGGGAAGAGGGGAAGGGAGCCAGGAGCTGCAGAGGGAAAGGGCTCCTCATCAGTCCCTCCCTCCCGATCCACCCCAGCAGGCTCCCAAGGCAGTGGAGGACCTCGCAGGCCCCACAGCCAGCCCCCATTTCCATGCTGGCCACAGGAAGGGAACGCATTTCCAAGCTTTTTATAGCAAATGAGGAAAAAAAAGGTCACACAGTCACCTGTGGCTGGAGGTTCTGTGAGTCACCAAATCCACAAGCCATGCTTCAGGTGACCTGCTCTACCTCAGCCTCCTTCCCTCAGCCTTTCTTCTCACACAGATGTTCACTCCACTGTCTACCATCCTTTCCCATCATCAAGATGAGCAGTAAACAATTATGCATTTTTACACACAGGCACTGGATGCTATGAACTGCACATATCTTCTTTTATTAGGCTTTTAGCATTATGGGTAACAAATTTATACAAACTTTCAGTCCATCAAAAAATATGATGAAATATAAAACTGGGACTCTATCATGCAATAAAAAAAGGATAAAATTCAATATGATAGTAATTCAGGGAGTAACAGCAATCACATAAACACATACACCTCTAGGGAACTCTAAACATTCTGTACTATTTAAAATTGCAGTTAGTTCACATTCTAAAATAATCGGGGAACTCAAAATAACTGCACTTCTACTAACCAGCTAGCAAAAATGCTAGCCAAGGCAACTAGAGTGTGCTGAAATGGAGTCACATTTCACACTATGAACTTAGTGAAAGTGCTACCCAGTGTCCTCGATGTAACACAGAAAAAGATATCACAGGAGGCGCATCTTCTTTATTTAGCAATCACCCTGCAAGGCCCTAAATCTGCTTCTACAGTGGAAAGGGGAAGATGAGTTTATATAATTTATACCTTTCAAAGTCAGTAATTAGAGACTCCCCTAAATTTTATTATTTCCAACAATACTGCTACAAATGAAAACTGCCAAGAAACCTATTGGCAATGATTTAAGGTAAGTTTTCTCTTAATGTACTGCTATATCATTAGCCTCTCTTACTCCACATAGAGGTCTTGAAGAAATTAATGGCATAGGGCATATTTAAATTCTGCCCTCTTGCTTATGTATTAACTTTACAGGAAGCCCACAGCAGAGTGAGGCTTGGTTTATGGCCATAACATGGTGAATACTAAACATGTACTTGTTATGATAGTCTGCGGTACACACCGATTACTCGCAATTCTCCCATTGCTGGGTAGTTGATATGTAATAATCAAGACATTCTGGGAATCATTCTTCTTACATTAAATTAAAGTCACACAGTTAGTAGTGATTCCTCAGTCAAATCAATTTAAACAGGAATTGGCTCGCCCTTTTAAAATACACTTCTTAAACTCTGCTTCTTGCAAAAGCACAAAATATGAACAGTAGCTCCCGAATGAAAAGAAAAAAGGTTGCATTTTGTTTTTCTTTCTTCTCAGCAATGACAGTAAGTCTAACACTATTAAAAAACACTACTGAGAAGAATTAAGAAGTCTTACCTTTGTTTACAATAACAGTGTTGAAGAGTTTTTCAGAGCTGGCATCTGATGCCTGAAAAAGAAGAGGAGAAAAAAGTGTTATGATTGTCACTGATATTGTAAGCTCCAGCATGATCACTATTATTTTGAGCCAGTTTACTAGATTTTAGGAAAGCAGTAATTTTTCCAAGTCATCCATAAGGTGGTGCTAGTTGACTGCTCGAGAGAGACCTGCAGTGCAGCTATTTGCTAAAGGGGGGAAAAATCTGATTTTAAGTATGTGTCCTTATTAGACATAATATCTGTGCAAAACATATTTCGGAGATGATACACAAAGCAATTCAGTTTATTCTCATAATGATTTTCCAATTTCACTGACAGATCATTATTTTGGAAATGGTATTTTTGTGCATAGTATTTGTAGACATGCCTATTTTTCAATTTCTTCCACAAATCAGAAATGCCTATTATGTAGTGCTAAGCTTTTCCTCCCAAAAGTGTCAACCAACACTGTCAGATATTTATTTTTTTAAAGACTCATAGAGTGACCCTAAAGATCCCTCCCTGTCTCTTACAATAACCAGGATGACCTTGATGTTAAAATAGATGCAAGCTGACCTGCCCAAACCCAGCCACCAGCATTATTTCCTTTTCATTTTTTTCGAGATCATACCTGCTAATTATTACAGTGGCTCAAGGAAAGTGAAATAAGCCTGTTTAAACAGCAAAACTAAAGCCAATTTAAATTCTACACTAATGTTCTGGAAAATAAACATGAAGTCGGTTTGGTGGAAATGCTGTGATGTTTCAGAAGCACTGAATATTTCTAAGACTTGAAAAATTAAGAAATTAGTAACCTCACTATATACAGTAATTTGAGGATGTATCTTCATTTAAAGTTATAATGGTGTAGCTGCATGAATCCTGTTTTTCTATGTAATCTTTGTAAGAAATCACTTCTCTTTCACTAAATACATAGACAAGCATATTCTGACAAAGCAAAGCATAGGATACTGAATAAACATGGAAGAAAGAAATATAGGAAGCAGGGGGAGGGGAAAGCCTGAAGAATAGCATATTCTGACTCTGCCTTTTGGGGACAAAGAAGATATTCTATTTAGTCCTTTCAATGTTACACTGACAAAGATGAAATATTCCTGTGTATGTCTGGAGGACATATTCTAGTTCTCAATGCAAGAGATATAAAAAGACATAAAATATCCTTACTATGGCTGTGTTCCCTTCATTTTAATTCTAATCTTCTATGAGGAGGACCAAAAAATTTAGGGGATCAAGGAGGAAAATTAATGTATAAAACAGGTATTCAAATGCTTATACACTTACAGTTTAAATTAAATCCTAGATAGATTTTTTTTTCTTCTTTGCAGGAATAAAATATATACTTAGAGTCTTCTTGATAGCTTAAACAAAACTAAATATTATAGTTGCTTCTTATAAAAATGAACTGCCAAAAAAGTATTGCACGGGGAGGGAAAAACAACTTACACATCAAACAGGTGATGAATATTGTTATAATGGTGAAAATTACACGAATGATGTTGTTATACTGAAATAAGAGATTTCTAGGCATGTGAGTTTCCTCGGTAAAAACTTAACTATAGGAGCATTTCATTTTAGTATTCTCCAAAGAAGAAGTGTTTCTTAGATTGGCTTGGAATTCTCTTGATGTTGCACTGGTGGCAGGCTGATATTTTAAAAGGAATAAAAACACCCATTTACGAAACTGCAAAGTCCTTGAAAAATTTGAGGTTACATATTAAGATAAGTCTAACTGGCCCCCAAATAGTCTTCCTTTGCACTAGGTGTGCACGCTGAAAGAACCCACGCAGGGGAGCAGGCCACTGGGCTCTGCGCTTCAGACCTTCCTTGGGACCTGCATCTTTTGTGAGCTCCGCGGCACTGTGCAAACCATTCTGTGATCCTCATCTGAACCAGACTTGAGGACATGATTATTATGATGCCAACCAGTAAGTTATTGAGGAAATAAGCTTGCACATTATTCAAAAACGCTTAGTAGAGTACACACTCTAATAAACGCCTTTTTACCCTTGAATTCCCTGATACGCGTCAGGAAGCTTCAAATGGTAACTGGGCAAAGAGGTATCTCAAAAAAGGCCTGGGGGGGGGGGGGCACAGAGGATGATCGCAATAGGATTCTCACTAATCATAAAAGGATTCTGGATCCCTCTTCTTCCAATCCAGATGGTTAAAACTGCACCAACCACTGTCCTAACAAAGTCAGGAAAAGAAGCTTCTTCGTCAAAGTCTTAAGCGAGAACCACAGGCATATCCTTCGCCTTTCTTCAAGGAACTTTCCTTCCACTTAGCACTTTAAAAGCATTTGAACAAATCATATTTTGGCTCCTTGTATCTTAATCGTGGGGACGTTTTCATTTTCGTCACTTTTAGAAATCTGCCATTTCTCTCCATTACCATGGTCGTTTTCCTGGTTTTTTTTTTTTTCCTTCTTTCTTTTTTAAATCAGACTGACTAAGCGCGTAGAGCCGAGACCAGCAGGCCAGTGCAGTCTCCCCTCTCTAAAACTAAGGTACCCTTCTTTGCACGCCACAGACTTCAAGATTTCACTCGCCATTTCTTTTCTTTCTCCCTCGCTCGGGTTTGAAGGATAAGAGCACGAAGAGACTAAAACAAAAATGACAAAAAACAAAACAAAACAACAAAAAAAGAGCTTTCTTTGGGGGCTTATTATGTGAGAGGAAAAAGGGGGATTTTTTTTTTTCTTAATACTAAAAAAATCTAGAAGCCGTAGTCGGTTTTAAGGAAAAGTTAAGTGAGTCAACCAGATCCGAGGAGAGAAGGCGCAGAACGAGAAACGCGAATAAAAGCCTGGGCACACGGCGGTGGGAACCGGATCCTGGTGCACTCGGATTCTCCCCGGGCTCGGACCCGGGACCGCCCTCCGCACCCACATCGGCGGCGAGTGCGACTTTCGAACGAGCGAAAGAAAACCTCTTGGAAACTTAAGCACGAGTTCTTTCACCCGCGGCCAGTTTGTGAGCCGGGCGGTCCCTCGCTTCCCGGCACAGCGTGCAGGCGCCGAGTGCCATCTGGGCTCGGCAAATCAGGCCGAAACGGCAGCGCAGCTGGCGCTGGCCCGGGCCGAGGGTGCCCAGACCTCATCGCACGGGGGTGGGGGGCTCGGCCAGGTCCCCGGCCCTCCCGCCCCGCGGCACTGCTCGAGGGCCAAGCCCGGGAGACCGAGCTAGGAAAGTACAAAGGCGGCGCCGGGCGGGTGGGGGCTGAGGAGCGGAGGAGGGGCGGGGGGAGCTCGGCGCCAGACGCAGCCAGTCCGCCCCTTCCACCCTGCCCGTGGGCCCGGCCGCCGCAACAAAAGACCCCCGACCAGGCCGCTCCCCTCCGACCGCTGGCGACGCGGGCGCGCGAGCCGCCCCCAGAGCTGATTACCTGGTCGGCAGCGGCTCCGCGGCGCTGTCAGCCCCAAGTTCATGGTCTGAGTCCTTAGTAGGGCTCGGGAAGCGCGATCTTCGAGAGACTGGGAGGGAAACCACCAAAAACACACGCCGAGAAAACGCCCAACTGCGACCCGGCTCTGTCCGCGAGTCTCTGTGCCGCTCCCTTGCCAAAGTCTGAAAGCAGAGCCGCGCGAACCAGATCCGAACCGGGCGGTCGTCTCCGGGGCTGAGGAGCCCGCGCGGCACGCATCCAGCACGGCCGGATCCGGCGGCGGGGAACGCACTCGCCCGTGCTTCCCCGGCTCCTGCGCGCGCGGGACCGGGCCGGGCCGGGCCGGGCCGAACGGCGGGGGCTGGCGAGGGGCGTCCGAGCCGGCGGCAAGGCGGAGAGCTGCGGCCGAGCCGCCGCCGCGGCGCGCGGAGCTAAGAGCGAGGCGGCGGCGGCGGCGACAGGACAAAGGAGACCATGTGCGGAGGGAGGGCGGAGGGAGAGGGAGGAGGCGGAGGAGGAGGGCGCGCGGCGGCAGTGGCGGCGGCGGCTTCTCCCCGGCGACCGCCGCAGGCTCCCCGACAGCGGGTCCTGCCTCCCCAGCAGCGCCGCGGGCCGCCCGCTCCCAGGCTCGCCACCGTCGCCGTGGCCACGTCGGAGTCTTTCCTTTGCGCCGATCCCGCCGGCGCGCGGTGCGGGGCGCCTCCTGGCCAGAGCTCTCGGGCGGGCGGGCGGGCGGGCTGGCGGGCGCCCGGGCTGGCTCGGCTCCGGCCCGCACTCCGCTGGCGGCCGCCTGCCTCTGCCCCGTGTGCGGCTCAAGTGAACTCCATCGGCGGTCGCCGCCGGCGCCGCGGGCTCCCGGGCTGAGCCGTGGCAGGGGGGCGGGGGACCCCGGCTCTGGACTTTGCTCCCCGACGCTCGCAGCTCTCGGAGCGGGACTCCTCGGCGCGCAAGCCTTCCCCGCCGGTGCCACCGCCCCTCCTCCGGCCGGCCCCGCCCCACGCGCCCCGCCCCTCGCCGCCCCTCCTCTCGGCCCCAGCGCCCGGGTCGGCCCCTCGGGACGAGGTCCCCGGGCGCGACACTGACAGCTGTTGCTTCCCCCGGCCCAGACCCTGGGTCCCCATGGCTGCCTCCCGGGCGGGCGGGCGGGCGGGCGCAGCGGGAACTGTGAAGCTCCGCGCCTTCTCCACAGACCCGGCTTCCAAGATTGCCGCGGCAGGGAAAGGCCACTAGGCTTGCAGCCTGGGGCTGTATGCGACTAGGCCGGTGGCATCTGTAAGGTCAGCTTCTTTGAGTGGTAATGAGGGCACAGTGGGAAATTGCATGTAAAAGGTCTGACACGTAGTAGGTGCTCCACACAAAATAATACATTGTTGAACACCAGGGTCTACATTTTAGAACAAAAAGATTTTAATCGAAACTATCCTGCCACGACAGAGAATGAGCAGTCAGGTTTCATGAATAACACTGGCCATTTACAAATCCTCCCCTCCTCCCAAGTCCTCAAATCATTGGACATCTGTACACCTCGCATCCACAAAATAGGAGCCTGTTGGTTCCCTTGGCAACCACCAAACCCAGAGAATAAAAGTAACGCCAAAGCTTCACTCTATGGGCAGTAACAGTGTC